TCAAGTGGAGTGCCCCAGGGGTCGGTCCTGGGGCTGGTTTTGTTCAATATCTTCATAAATGATCTGGAGGATGGTGTGGATTGCACTCTCAGCAAATTTGCGGATGATACTAAACTGGGAGGAGTGGTAGATAGGCTGGAGGGCAGGGATAGGATACAGAGGGACCTAGACAAATTGGAGGATTAGGCCAAAAGAAATCTGATGAGGTTCAATAAGGATAAGTGCAGGGTCCTGCACTTAGGACGGAAGAACCCAATGCACAGCTACAGACTAGGGACCGAATGGCTAGGCAGCAGTTCTGCGGAAAAGGACCTAAGGGTGACAGTGGACGAGAAGCTGGATATGAGTCAGCAGTGTGCCCTTGTTGCCAAGAAGGCCAATGGCATTTTGGGATGTATAAGTAGGGGCATAGCGAGCAGATCGAGGGACGTGATCGTTCCCCTCTATTCGACATTGGTGAGGCCTCATCTGGAGTACTGTGTCCAGTTTTGGGCCCCACACTACAAGAAGGATGTGGATAAATTGGAGAGAGTCCAGCGAAGGGCAACAAAAATGATTAGGGGTCTGGAACTCATGACTTATGAGGAGAGGCTGAGGGAACTGGGATTGTTTAGTCCGCAGAAGAGAAGAATGAGAGGGGATTTGATAGCTGCTTTCAACTACCTGAGAGGTGGTTCCAGAGAGGATGGTTCTAGACTATTCTCAGTGGTAGAAGAGGACAGGACAAGGAGTAATGGTCTCAAGTTGCAGTGGGGGAGGTTTAGATTGGATATCAGGAAAAACTTTTTCACTAAGAGGGTGGTGAAACACTGGAATGCGTTACCTAGGGAGGTGGTAGAATCTCCTTCCTTAGAAGTTTTTAAGGTCAGGCTTGACAAAGCCCTGGCTGGGATGATTTAATTAAGGATTGGTTCTGCTTTGAACAGGGGGTTGGACTAGATGACCTCCTGAGGTCCCTTCCAACCCTGATATTCTATGATTCTATGATTCTCTGCTATTTGAACCGCAAGAGTGAGCCTCTACCCAGAAACAGGCTGTAGCTTAATTCAATAAAGATGTAGAAACAAGAATCAGCAACTCTGGTTTGCAAAAAGAAAAGGAGTACTTGTGGCACCTTAGAGACTAACCAATTTGTTTCTAAGGTGCCACAAGTACTCCTCTTCTTTTTGCGAATACAGACTAACACGGCTGTTACTCTGAACTCTGATTTGGTAACTGAGTGTGCTGTAAAAACATGACCACTGCATTTCAAATCCCAGAGAAAAACTGCAGCATGCTTTAGGGGTTAGCACCATGCAAGATTTAAGCTAAGGTGCTAACTCTCCCTAAGCATTTATGTGGCAAAAATATATAAAAAAATTACCTAGAAAAAGTGAAAGGCAGAAATGTAGCATAAAGTAGGCACAAAATGCGGGTTTGGTTGAAACAAACAAAAGGGCAGTTGTTTTTAGAAAAGCTAATATGACTGTTTTTGTGACGTTAAGGGGTTGGGGGTAGGAAGCAGATTTTGTTTAGGTTGAAGCCTTCCACAGCTTCATTGGTAACCCACATATTGCAGCCTTTGGCTAGTCTACCAGCGCCTCCAGGTGAAACTGACTAGAAAGAGGAAGGAAACTGAGGAGTCAATTTTGAGTGTCCAAGTTGAACACAATGCAAAAAAGAAAAGAAAAGAAAAGAAAGCAGAAAATGAAATCAGATGATTGCTGTTATTTGGGTTTTAGTAATCTGAGGTGTTGTTAGCAACTCAGGGAAAGAAAATATTGCTTTAAAACAGGATTTTTAATCTGTGCCCCTTATGTCTAACCCTGTGCATTTCAATAGGAGGTAGTTACATGTCTGTATTTCTGCCTTGACAGATGGATGGAAATGTGCCAGTTAGTGTTTTGGTTGGCATCTCTCTCACACACAGACCAGCTTGGAGCCTGATCCTGTTCATCAATGAGGCCCAACTCCTCCAAGATATTAGGCTCCTGACATCCATTGATTTCAATGGATGTTAGGAACCTAACTACTGTACCTTTTAGGGTCTGGGCCGCAGTGACCCCAGATCCCATTGAGATCAGTGATAGTTTGAGAATGCTTAACACCTCACATGTGATGCTCAGCACTTCACTGGTTCTGGTCCTAATATACTAAACCAGGGATTTGGACAGTAAAGCCCCAAACAGAGCAAAATGGGGCGTCATCTGAGTGGGGTGCATCTGCATAAAAAAACTCTAAAAAGCCAAACTCCCTCTGCCTTCATATGAGCTGCTTGGATAGTATAACAGCCCCTTGATGTTCCAACAGCCACAACCACTAATATTGCTTTGATGGCCTCTGACAAAGAGATCAAGGAATCCTGTATTGTTATTGCAGAGCCTTGTTTCTACTTTCCTCTCCCCAGTTCCTTCGGTCCAACCTGTCTAGTTTTTATAGGCCACGGTCTTCTCTCTTCCTACTCAAGGATAACACATAAACCCTCCTGGCAGATGTGTGTTTGAATGATAGAGTGTGAATGAATTCCCTTTGGTGCCCACTAAACTCCAAGTTGTGTTAGCGGTTTCTATACACAAAAGGACAAATATCAGCTAATTGTGATGCTCTGGGTTCTGGCATTAGTCGCTAAGAGAGATTCCACTAACGACCTGTGTGCATCAGATAATATGGATAAAGCTTCTAACAAGACACCAATAAAACACACCCGCAGGAGGCTTACTGTACTAGAATGAATCTGGCAGCTGAGGCTTTGCTTGAAGCAAGAATTACCCTTTTTCAAAAACCCAATAATATGCATTTTACAGCTGTTTTACCTACCAAACCAGTGTCTTACAATCTATGAACCATAGAGAATTTCATTCACTCTGCAGCTTGTGGTGGGTGCAGCCATACTCTAGAGACATTCTTATGTCATTTGTTGGTTGTCTCATTAATCAGAACAAAGCAGGCAAGGCGGTCATTGCTTAGGATGGTTGGTGGCTTAGAGGGTAGAAATCTGAAAGGGGTTCGAAAAAACTCCTCCCATACAAATCTAGGCTGATCCCACTTCGATGTCTCTGTTACATCTCCCCGACCCAGTTGACTTCAGTGGAATAGCATGGGCATAAATGCAAATGGAATTGGAATTCAGGGTGTGTCCACCCCTCTTACCTGTCTGTACTGGGGTTACTGGCATAAAACTGCTCTACGTACAAACATGAAAATAAACTTCAGTTGAACCCCAAATGCTTCCTTTTATTTTTTCCTCTTCCTATTTGTGAGTAATCTCACCTCAAGCAAGGGAGGAAAGATAGACAAAGGGTCAATTATTTCAGGACTGTTTAGATATTCTGCAGTGTATTGACCTGCCATCTTACCCTGTATCCCAGCTCCATCTTACTTTATAGTGTATTTAAAAAATGCTACAAAACCTTGCTATTCTCCCACCGTTACAGTGGGTGCATTGGGAACACTGTGTGGGAGATTCCACGATATTCCAGCAATTCAAAAAAACTGGGTTTTAAGAGAACATTTGGAGGGTCTTAAAGATTTAAAAGGGGTTTTCTTGCATTGGTTAACCTGTTTTTTTCAGCATCCCTTCAGCAACGTAGGTCTTGATCCTGCAAACACTTTCACTTAACTTAACTTAACTTTAAGCACACAAGTCTTCCTACTGACTTGAACAGGAGTACTCCTGTGAGTAAAGCTAATTATGCATATAAGTGTTTTGAGGATCAGGGCCTTACACAGCAGAATAGAGAACACCTGTTTGCATTAGTCATTTTTGCAACCATTAGTTGTGACTTCAAAGCAAGGGCACAGAATAATAACCTCTTTATTAATTGCAAACGACTTAGTTGGTAAGATCCTTTGTCACACCCTCAAATTTTTCTGGCGGAGCAGAGCCTAAGTGCCAACCGACTGAAATGCGTGTTCTGTGTTCGTGTTGTGCTGGAATGGGGCTACAGCCGCGTTGCTAGAGGTGGGTTTCTGTCGCATACAAGTTCTGGGCAGTCTGGCGATATTTAATAATATGCAGGCGGCGCGTCTCTGTGGCGGGCCAGCCTGTGGAGATGTATCACCACTGTCAGGGCGTGCGGGGCACCTGCCATTTTATCGTCAGCTTCACCATAACTTGGCGGTTTTCCTTACGCCCCAGCTCCCCCTCAGGTCCTTCCATGGGAACTGGAGCTTTCACTTTTAACTAAGCAAGTTGCTGGCCCTGGTGGGACTGAGGAAGGCTTGAAGACATGCCCCCGGGGGGGGGAGGGGAGCAAACTGCGCTCCTTTGTGTCCAGCTCTCCTGATGGGTGCCCAGGCCCATGACCTGGGCAGGGAGGGGCACAGGACTTTGCATTGCCGGGGTGTGGGTCCGGGCCCCATGTGCTGGCTGGCTGGGGGGAGGGGAGGGGGTGCTAGGGTGCAGCTGAGCCTGGCCCGGGGTGGGGGGGGGGGTCCCCACCGGCCGGCCTGCCGCCGCCTGCCGGTTGCTATGGGGACCGCCCGCTCCTTCCCCGCTGCCTCGTGAACTTTCACCCCGCTCGGCGGCGGGTCACATGACCGGGCCCAACATGGCGGCGGCCGCTGGGAGCTGATCGGAGGCGCCGGCGGGGCCGCTCTCCATCCACCGGCATCCCCGGCCGCCCGGGGGGCTCCGCTCCGGGGCCCGGATCCCCGCCCCACCGCGTGCCGGCCGCGGCGCCTGCGGCTATGCAGAGCGGGAGGAGGGGGCCCTGCGGCGGGGGCCGGGAGGAGGTGGGTGCGGGGCCTGCGGGCGGGGAGGCGGGTTTGTTTACATCGGGGCTGCGGGGGCGGGGAGCGAGCGGGGTGTTTACATGGGGGGGGGAGTGACCCAAAGAGGGCGTCTCGTTCTCCCTGTGGGTCGGGGGGTGTTGGGGTCGGGGGGGGGCTGTCCTCGGCCTTCTCTCTCCTCCGCGGTCACTGAGGAGGGCCAAGGCTGCGAGTCGCCCCGGGGTGGGGGCACTGCCCAGCTTCCTCCCCAGCCGGGCGCTGACACTGCTCTGCTCTTGTTCCCTTTGCAGACCTTCCTGAGAGTGAGAGCGAACAGGCAGACCAGGCTGAATGGTGAGTGCGGCGGGGACGGTGCCCCTGTGTCTTTCGCTGGCGCAGGCAGGAAGTTTCAGCCTTTCCTTTTTTTTTCCTCTCTCCCTGGGTGTTACTTTGAAGCATTACTTGGTTCCTTTCACCTTGCTGTTTAAAAGACCTGTTTTTATCATCTTCCCCAGTCAAATTGTGCCAGGTTTACGGGCCTGTTACTTTCCTCCCACTCCTCTCCCCAAAAAACAGAGCATACAGAATAATTTCTGATTCCTTTAACCCCATTATCAAACTTACAATGAAGAAATGCATGTACGAACAGTAATCTAACTTTTGCTGAGCACTGAGTTGTTTTTGTATATTTTTACGTATTTGCTTGGTAAATAATTGAAAGTAGCATTTAATACTGGGGTGTATCACTTAGGCTGCACTCCTACAAGTTCTTCTATAGTCTGCATGCATGGAACATCTTCCAGGTTTAGGATCTTAGCTATGACATGTCGTTTAGGTCCCAGTCCTGCATTATGATTAATGCAGATGGGCTGCTGTAGCTGTATGGACCAAGTTTCAGGGTCAAGGCCTTAACAGTAAATGTTTATACTAACAATTTTCAGTGTACTTGCGTCTATGGTGTCTATCCAGATCCTCTGATTTCCTCCCCTCAGCCCCCTAGAGATGTTGATCCACCTGTTTCATTGTACTTCTGAGTGTGTTTTGGAAAATAATAAATATTTTTATTTTGTGAAAAACATTTAACATTTAAAAATCAAATATTGCCATCATTTATTTTCTTTAAATGACAGGTTTCAGAGTAGCAGCCGTGTTAGTCTGTATTCACAAAAAGAAAAGGAGGACTTGTGACACCTTAGAGACTAACCAATTTATTTGAGTATAAGCTTTCGTGAGCTACAGCTCACTTCATCGGATTTCCATCTCAGTGCATGAAAATAAGTCAGTAGAACATTCTTTGTTTTGTTTAATTCAACTAAAGCCAATTCAGTACAACTTCACGGTGAAACCTTGAATTCACTAAGGTCAGAAAATTCAAAAGTTACTATTCACATAGCAATAGTAATATTTGAATGTGTAATTTTATATTGATGTTTACTATTAAACTTGCTTAAATATAGATGATGCAGCCAATTTACAGTTCCTGGGAGATTTTTAACTTGGAATTTCTTGACTTTTGATGGTTCAAAAATACACCCACAAAGCTGCATTGATGTAGTTTTTACATTGAATTACCTTGTGCTGCTTCTAAGCAAATAGAGGATTTCAACAAAATAACAGAAGATCCTAACTGAAACTCTATTTTGGTACTAGTATATACGTATAATCTGTAATATTGAACCTTAGCATTGCGCTAAAGAAACGAAAAGCGTGTTAAGCAAAATCTTTAAACTTTATTTCAAAACCCAGAGTCATTTTTTTGTTTTAAGAGTCCTGTGCACTTGCTCTCATTGTCAACTGAATCCAGGGGAAGCATGAACATTTTCAAATTTTTTCAACACAAAAAATAAATCCGATAAGTGTTCAGTGATGGAAAATGCCTCTTTCCCATGCATGGGAGTCTCAGATGGAATTCCATCAACCGTTCTTGCCACACAAATCACCTGTGGACTGAGAATAAGCATTGGAAGTTTTTGCTAAGAGATATATTTTAGCACCCCTAAATTTTGCATCTTATAAGTACTCAAAATTTTTGAGCCAAGCTGTGTGGTTATGATGATATTATCTCTAGTACAAGACTACTGACGAAACGAGAATTATGCTGTTGTCTTCAGTAGAGCCAGGGTTTTGCCCCAAGGTAGGGCTGCAGTATAGTCTAAGTATAGGATAAGGAGCCTGGAGCTCTTAAATTGTAGTGCGCTCTGCTACTGGCTTGTTTATATGAACTTGGCTGATCATTTAAAACGGGGTGGTTAGACTTGTAGATTATTTTTGTCACTTTTTCTCTGAATCTCCTTTATTACTGCTCTATCCTTTTTGGGGCATCGTGACAAGAATTGAACACAGTATTCCACGTGAAGGTGTCTCGTTGATTTATATAATGGTATTATAATTTTGGTCATTCTTTATACATCCTAATATTGTTTGCTTTAACCATTGCTGGGGATTGAGCAAAGGTTTACAGTGATGCCCAGGTCCTTTTCCCAAGTAGTTGGTTAGCTTAGAACCCAGCTGTGTACATGAGTAGTTCAGTTTATTCCTTCCACTGTGCATTACCTTGCATTTGTCAACACTGAATGTCACCTGCTATCATATTTCCCTCTAGAGTTGCTCAGTCTTCTCTTGTATTAACAAATGTTTTTGTGATATTTTACCACCTTACAATTCATTCCCTTTTCCAGATCATTGATGAATACATATCTAAACACTAGTCCTAATAGAGAACTTTTAAACATGTTGAATGTTTACCATTTATTAATCTGTTTTCCATCTCTTGGCCAATTTCTAATCCATAAGAGAACTTGACTTCTCACCATACGACAATTTAGCATCCAAACTCCAAGTTAGTTTCCTTATTAGCTTCTTATGTGGGACTTGGTCAGAAGCTTTTTGAAAATCCAAATATATTGTCATCTGGTTTTCCTTTCTTCATCATTTTCCTGACGCTTCAAAGAATTCTAATAGGTTAGAAAGTCCGATGTTTCCTGTGCAGAAACCGTACTAATGTGTCCCTATTGTACTGTATTCATCTAGATGTTTTTAAATTATTTTTAATTGTTATTGCAACCAGTTTGTACCTTGATGCTAAGGTAAGGCTCACTGATCTAATTCCAGGATCATCTATAGTGACTTTCTCTTACAGAGAGGGATAAAAGATTTGCTGTCCTCCAGCACAGTAGCTGATTTTAATGAGCGTTTGTTTTCTGTTAACGGCTCAGACATCTTATTCCTACATCCCTTCAGAACTCTTAGATACGTATCCGGTTCTGGTGACTTATTGCTCTTTAATCAGTCTGTTATCAATATCAGCTATCAAAGAAGAGTAACAGGAGAGAAATATGGCTTCTAAGGGTAAATCTAGACTGCAGCTATAGACCTGGTAGCAACATAGTTGATCCCTGATGAAATTATGATAGAGTTTACAGTTGGAGTAGATTGGGGCCTAACCTAAAACTCCTGATAGTCCAGAAGTTTAGTTCTATAGGTCAAACCCTTTGAATTGCAAGCAGGATGGAAGCTGATGCAGGTTCTGGAACCCAAGTTTAATATGCTTCATGTGGGAGACACCAAGTGGAAATTACATTCTGTACTAAAGTTTCCGATTGATTTTTGAGCACCAGTCCAGCATCTTCCACCTGTGCTAAACTCATGTTGTGTTGTTTGGGAGGGTCTCGTGCACACTTTTTGTAGATGGGATTATGTGTCCTTCAGAATGTATACAAGATCCCAAACAGTTTAAATTCTGACCATCTGGAGAACTCTCCATTCTCTTGCTCTCTCCTGTTCCTGAGCTGGCTTTACTGCTACCACTGCTGTCCATGTTCTCCTGGATCAAGCATTCTTCCCGATGGCTGCTCTGGGCCCCAAAGAGTTTTGTGTGAGTCTCACCAAAGTGTTTCCAGCCCCGTTGCCAGCTAATACACCAAAATATTGTAAATGTGTTTTTGTTTTTTTACTGCTATTGAACATGAAGGTAGGACAAGAAATAATGGGTTTAATCTGCAATAAAGAAGATTAAGATTCGATATCAGGGACACTTTCCTAATTATAAGGATAGATATAGGCTTCCAAAGGAGGTTATGGAATCCCTATCATTTGAGGTGTTTAAGGTTGGACAAACACCTGTCAGGACTGGTCTAGGTTTACTTGGTCTTGCCTCCGTTCAGGGTGCTGGGCTAGATGACCTCTTGGGGTCCTTTCCAGCCCTATTATTCTAGGATCTTTGTAAAAACCTCAGGAGAGCTGTAAAAGGTGGATAGGCTCATATCTGTGTCTCATTTACAGCTCCCTCTCCAGGTAAGTCTGGGAGTCTGGCTGAGTCCTATGCTGACACTGACCCAAAACCTGTTATTGACTCTGTGCTGATGGATGCCTGTTGAAGCCAGTTGGGCTTTGTGTGCATGGTCTTCTGCGCCTGCATGGAGGGCCACTGAACAGTGTTGCAGGACTGAAGCTGCCGTTAGCAGTTCTTGCTTCCATAGTCAGGGCAAAAAATGACAGTTCAGTGAAACTAAGGGAGAGAATATAGGATTTCTTTTAAAATGACAATATCTGTACTTAGTTTGTTTGGGCTGTAGTAGTGTGTCCTAAGTAGCTGCTGCTTATTAGGTCTGCACTCAGTGAACCGCCAGACCACCCAAAGTACCATTGATCTTTTTTGGCACTTTGTATTTTAGTGTTTTACGTAGTGCTCATCACTTTGGCTTCTCAGATAAGCTAGAACTTCCCCTGGTGGTTGATAAATTCTGTACTCAGTTGCTTGACTGCACTTTGATTTGTTATGGAATATATACAAGAAACCAAATAACGAGTATCCTCCGGTTTATTGCTAAAAGTCAATAATCGTATAGTACAGGAAGAAAGGTTCAATACGATACCAGCTTCTGAGAAGCTATCTCATGCAGCATTGTTAAATTCACCTTATACAGGTATGCTCCCAAAGTTACACGTTTCAGCTGGTAATATTTATAGGATAATTCTACAAGTTACAAAACGCTTTACACATCGCTAAAATCCAACCCACCAGTTCATCTGCGTTACTTAGCTTGTTGTTCTGTACCTTCCTTATCTTTATTTTGGATACTAGCATTCCAGGTGCTGGTCTATGAAAGCCCCTCCCCAGCTTGTACTGGCGCAGAAGGTTAATGTATTTTGCCTTGGACAACTTTTCTAATGCCAAAGCTGACATCAGCTTTGTAAAGTGTTATGGTATACTTAGCAGAAGTGAACAGGATATAGAAAGACATAGGCCAGTTCAGGCCATGTACCTGGTAGAAATACATATACGATATAATGTTATATTGATATTGTGTGTAATAAGTATATATTGATGATGTAATATAATATACACACACACA